CAGGAATGTTTTTTAGTTAAAGCATAGGTAGCCAGATAAATGGTGACCTTATATCAATTTTCTGCTTACTAAACTAAAACTTATGGTATTGCTGAGCTATTTGAGCTCTTCATTTATAACATACTGTCTTTTCTTTTTCAGTTTTATTGTTAAAACCAATTGTTCATTTGCACAATTTTTTAGTGAAATATTTTTCCATATATACTGAAGTGTATATCTGTTTCAGTACTTTGCTTGGCATAATATCTTTTGAAACACATTTTATGGGTAGGCTGTTTTATGGTCACATTTGTAATAGAATCATGGTTATTAACGAATTAATAATAACATTTTTATAATTATGTATTATATACCATTTTATAATAGTAATTTTTAATGTGTTTATTTCTTCATAGTAACTGAACATGCTAACCATGCTAAGGACAATTTATTTGAAGTTAATATTAATAAATATGATGGGTAAGTAACTTCATTTGCCTTTTTTCTTTTCTAGCTGATATATTCTGTAATCTGTCTGTTCTTGTCTCTAGTTTAAAACAGTAGCCTTCATTGCTGATACGTTTATTGCAACAGCTGAAAGTTCTGGGGCATATTCCTTTCCATAGCAGGTCTACATTTTGGACTATAAAAGGAACATATTGTGTACTGAACAGGTTTACTGCAACAGTTTAGTCTTCAAGTGTAGTATAACAGTTTGCATGAGATTTGTGCACAGAAGATGAATGTAAGATTAACTCTGCTCATCCAGAAGTTGAGCATTCTGTGATAGCTCGAAAGCTACCCTGAAATGTTTTGTGGTGTATGTGATCTTGACATGTACAGGAGTCCAGAATGCTGCATCAGTAGCATTCAGCCTGTCTGTAAAAGCCATGAACTGTTTACAAACAGTTCAGATGGTTCTCCTCTTGCTATGTAGGACTGTTCAAATAAAGGCTACATCATTTGGTTTTATTTGTGTGTGTTCTGTCGTGGAATTACTGTTTTAAAAGAAGACCTAACTGAATGGTGAAATTGCATTCCATTATTAAATCTTCTGTAGAAGCAGAATATTTTAATAAATAAGCTCGTCATTCCAGTTTCTGGTTCATGACATGAAACAAGTTACATGACTGGAAAAGTATGAAAATGGATGCAGAACCTATGCAGATAAACTCTCAAAACTACAGTATTTTAAAATGGTATCTTGTTGTGCTTGTTGGCAGGTACATTTAAACTGATAAGTTGCAAAAATAAAACACTTCCTATCTTTTCAGAGTATTTTACTTAGGGGAACACTTCTGTATGCATTGTATAAATCGAGCGAGGGCATGATGTTGACAAATTGTGGTAGTAAGAAATGAGATTCACAGGTTGAGTTCCTAGACTTCACCTGCTTAAAAATGAGGTGGCTTTAAATAAGCAGTTTTGACTATACTGGGATTTTTCTTAATTTTGCAGAAGTGCAAGGAAGGGAAACGGGGATTCTAGGAAAAAGCTATAGTTAAGATTTTTCCTTTTCATTTGACTTCAGTGATTTGAAATAGATAATACTGGTGGTTGGTGAAATTCCAATACGGAGGAGAAGAGGGAAGCAAGTGAGCCCATGTCCACTCCTGGCAAATTGTTTTTTCACAAGTGTCAGTGACCAGTTAGCAGTACCTGAAGTGTTTTTGGCAGATTCAAACAGTTTCTTATTGTAGACATTTTAAAAATTTTTTTCTTTGGTGTGGTTTTTTTTTTTGTTTTCTTTGTCTAACATGACTGAGCTAAACAACTGGACACAGATTATAATCTCAAGATTCTTTTATTCCCAGACTGGGCCTTAGTAGCAGTTAGTTTGCGAACTGCAACCTGTCTTTCCAAGCCTGATTTTTTTTGTCCATCATGTACAAGTCTGTGATGAACAGTGATGTTATGAAGGAGTTCGTGTGTTAATACTACTCTTTAAATATCAGATCACGTGGTTATATGGAAGATTTTAAAAATGGTTGAACTGCATATACGCGTGTGTTTCTTCAAGTTTGACTCTTCTCACATAGAGGAAAAGCTTCTTTGGATTCCTACATCTAATTGTTGTTCACCTGTCCTCTTATATTGCTACTGATAAGTGGCTTTCCCTTCATTCAGTGATAAGATTCTTCATTTAACCTCCAGGTTGCCTATTTGGCAAAGCCATGCCTGTAATTTCGGAAGTAGATACAGGATTCTTAATGACAACTGCTTCACTGCTTTCAGAGTGTGTTTACTTGAGACAGCTTATTTAAACCTCTTGTGTATGTTTCCTGTTTCTTCTTCCCATTTCCCCTTATATGAATTTCTTATGGTGACTGTACTAATCTACTAATCTAATAGCTCAGTGATAGAACAGCTTCTCTTTAAAGACAGTTACTTAAAGTATTCATTCACGATATAGCAGGTTTTTGTACATCATTGTGCAGAGCAACTAGAGCGTACTGTAGTATTGTTCAGGTAATGACCATGTTTAGAATAAGCCTGGCATGTATGAATGACTATGCTTCCTTATCCACATAACTGTTGCACAAGCCTTTGTAAAACTGTTTCGGGTTGTGTTTTCTTCCTAGTTCTTGATTTAGTTCACAGAATGGTTGAGATTAGAAGGGGCTATAGTTTCTTTTAAAACTCATTTGTCTTGTGGACTTGCTTTTCCTGAAGTCATTTAGCATATGTATTTTACTGTTATCATCTATCTAAAAAGTGAAATGCTAGTCCATTAGAAAAATAAACCTAAAATGTAACAATCTCCCTAAGAAGATTTCTCTTAACAGTAGTTCTTCACTAGAGGTCTTTACAAGTGTGACTCGCACATTGGTCATCTGATGTTTGCAATGAATTTGATCATGCTGATGTTGTGTAGGTGAACTTTATCTGTCAGTATTTACCCTTGATACAGACATTCATATCATTGTCAACTCTGAGCCTGGCTATAATATTTCTTACAAACAGAACACTACTGAGACAACATTGACCTTGAACCGACATGGAAATTTTTGTCCATTTAACCTCTTTCTTAGAGTCTGCAGAGAAAGATGAGACAGGCTAAATAATGTAGTTAAGCTATGAGAAGAGGAATTAATTATAAAAATGAAAAACAAATGTCCTTTTCTCCCTTCTCTTCCAGTCTCTTAGGTCTTGACTTAAAGTTGGACAGTGCATATTCTTAAGACTGTCCTCTATATTAATGAAAAAATGACTGGTTTTTTTCAAGCTTTCCTTCTGCTGAAAATATAACAATAAGTAAATTTAAATCATCAGTACTTGAAAAATAAACTAACTTGTCCTATGAAATAAGTGCTTGTTCTGCAATACCTGTTGCGGACTGTGGAAGAGTAAATATTAGTTTATGCATTGGAAGTGATTGCTATAGATGACAGTAAACATTCCTAACTGTATATGCTGGGGACTACCTGCATAACTTTGGATTTGTCATGTGTTCCTCTAAAATGTATTTGAATTAGCTTTCCAGTTAAAGAATGTTTATGCTTTTAGAGTTCAGGGTGTGCATTTGATTATTGTGCATGAAATGTATACTGCTGTAAAATAGTCTTTTACTTCCTAGTATTTGCTTGGCTGTGGACTCTCTGCTGAGCTTTAACATATTGAGGATCTGTGTAGCTGCTGCACCAGCTCTGACCTGAATTAAATTTGCAAAACAAAGTTTTGCATCTGGTAACATCTAGAACTCTGTGTTTCATTATGAATGGTTATGTAGATATACATGACTTCTGTCTGTTTGGGCTCTCAGCATGTTCAAAAGGGCATGCAAGCATGCACTTTTCTGTTTTTTTGACTTTCATATAATGTATTTCCCTATTAAAGTAATAGCATAAAATACACTTCTGCCTGAAGCCACAAATATTAACTTACTTTTCCCCTTTTTACTAAAGGTACCCTTTTTCCATTTTCTTTACTTGGAAAGCTGTATGTACAGTCCTGTTCAGTGTTTTCTTTGTATGGTGAATTTCCACTGATATTTGTCTGTCTGCACACAGCAATAGAGGATAAAGATTTTTTTTTTTAGGTTGCATTCCAACATTTTTTTCTAACATTAAAGACATGTCTAGGTGCATTTGCAGTTGTGTAGCTTGAATTTTTTTTTCTGCTTTTTGTTAATTGCCAAGTTGACTGTGGGCTACTATAGGCTGCGAAAATGGAGGAGGAGAATAGAACAACTATTTTTGATGTGGCCAGTGCATGCCCAAAGTAGAACACTTGCTGTGTTGTTTATTGACTGTTAGTGTGCATTCTAATTTGTGTTTCCTGGCAGTGTTATTTGTGTTGGTGGGGACGGCATGTTCAGTGAAGTGATGCATGGTCTCATTGGAAGAATGCAGAAGGACTCTGGCATAGACCAAAATAATCCCAAAGCACCGTTAGTCCAGTGCAATATAAGGATTGGCAAAAGGTTAACTTTCAGTTTACTCTATTCATTTATTCTTGAAATTTCTTCTTATTCATAACTTCTTGAATGTAGACCTAAGTGGAAGATATGAGCAATGATACTCCATAGAGACGCCTAGCTAAACCTATTTGTAACCCTGTGTAATTATTGATCACATGCAATTTTATTTGGGAAGGGTACTTTGTAAAAGAAATCAAATCTTAATGTGCAACTTTAGAATTTAATTACTTTTTTCTTTTTTTTGTGGCTTATTGTGTGTTAATACAAGATAAGATATTGACAGTAATACCTTTGCCCATCTGAACACATCAATGAGTGAAATTCACTGAACAGAGACTTAACCTGATAAATATTTTTCCAGTTCCAAATGTTCCACAAATGTAGTTAGAATTGTGATGAGAACCTCTCACTGGTCTGGCAAACTCCAAACGAATGCTAAAATTTCTTCTCTTTCCTCCCCCTCCAGCTCCCAACCCCCCAGTTGTCATCACAGAAAGCATAAGGCAACTACAGCTGAGGAACAGTCCTCGGGCTCCAGACCAAGTTGCAGTTTGTGCCCCTTTCTAGAGCTGCTGTACCTTCACAGTTCTCAATGTCAGACATTTTTTTAGGCAATCCTGACTACTGTCATTGAGAGTCATTTGAGAGAACTCATTCTTGGATTTCAAGTCTTTGGTGATAAACTTATTTTTTTATTGACGATAGGCACTCTTTTGATCAGTCTTGCTGTTAAATCTAGTGTCCCAGGTGTTACCTCATCCTGCCCAGTTGGTCCCCAAGATTCCTTCAGAAGTGGACTTAGAAGATGACTCTCTCTTCCAGGACTGGATTCTGTGTTGCAACTCTTAAATAGCATCTGCAATTTTGAGGACTCTGTGGAAAGACAAATGGGCAGTTCAGTGTCTTTTCTATGATGTTCTCTTTTTCTTGTCAGATGCTTGAGAGTTGAGTTAAAGAGCTGGGATATGAAATAAACATTATGAGCTTCTGACTAGAACTAAACCACAGACTTTATGAGAAAATTTAGCACAGGTTATAAAAATACACCAAGTGAAATAGTATATTTGTAGCCTCAGGCTTTAGGTGACTAATTTTATACTCATTGTATCTTTGTGAAGAATGTGTTCAAACCCAAATGGTCTGAATTGTTGATTGGAAGAAGCTTAACCCTTTCTGCTTGCAGTACAATAAGGTTTAGTTATCTAAAAGTTGTAATGTGAATATCCCCTCATGGTTTTTCATTTTCCCTGTTAGCTAATGCATTAAGGGTTCTGTATAACAGAATTACTATATTTAAGTATATTCTGATTTTATTTGTTAAAGCTTTGTATTAAAATCGGTTTGTAAAATAAACTTAAGAATAGAATTTAAAGTGCTCTACCCTTCATTTCCTTTATTTGGGCAAATTTCTTGTATTAAAGGATTTGCTTACATGGTTGGTTTCAAAAGGTTTTTGCCTACTGGTGATCTTAGTGACCATAAGAAGACAGAATTTTAAAAATGGAATGTCAATATTAAGAGCTATTTCTTTGTCCTTAGGAAATTACCTATAAGCATGTTAAAATTGTAAGATTAACCTTGCTTTTTGAACAATTTATCAATGCATTTTTTTCCAATTGCAACCAAAAAGGTATGATCTTCACTGATATTTTAATATTGCTAACATGTATCAAGTCACTTCTCTCATACTTTAGTGTGGTGCTTTTCGTGTTTTGTCCATTGTAGCTGTTTGTGATTTGAATGTGTACTGCATGCTCTATTCCTTGAACTAACAGGAGTTACAGCCTTGTAATCAGTGCTATGATTCTAATATTTTCTCCAAGTCGTTATCGAGATCCCACGAAAAAAATTATTTATAATGGTGTATAAGGAATCTGGCCTTGAAGTTATATTAATTAAGTTTTTGGAATTACAGAGGATAATACATATCTTGATCTGTTTGTATATTGTACAATATTTAAAATGATCCGTTACTGAAAATATGGGAAAGTTCTTATATACTGAAAAAGGGAGTCAAATCACTGAACAAATCTTAACCCTATCTCAACACATCTAGGCATCACAGGGACCTTAAATTGTGTACGATATACCCAAACCCATGCTTTGCAGGGTGGTCAGGAAGGTAGCAAGAGCATTTAGGGGTTTTTTGGTTTTCTTTTTTTTCCAGCCCTTGGTGAAGCTGTTCTCTGTTCATCTTTGCTTGATGTGATAGAGCTCTGACCATGTATTGACCCTAGCAGATCCCCTGGTTCCCAGACTAGTGCAAGAAATCTGTTACAAAATAAGTGAGATCCTTAAAAAGGCTTTTTTTAAAACGAAACTGACAGTCCTAAAATACAGCAAGTGAAAAGGAATAATGAAATATAAATCATTCATCTAGAAAAACTTCATCTGTGATGCTCTTTTTAGTTCTGTATAACAAAGCTTCTTCTAAAAATCCCAAGAACTCATTAATAGATATTACAAACAAACACTACCCATAGTTTAGAGATTAAATTCTGAAGGTTTGTCTGTCTTCTGATACATGGAGACAGTTTACGCAGTGTAGACAGGAGCCTGGGGTAAGGTGACAGTGAATCGGTGTGTTTGCCTTTTATCATTGAGTTCCTAATGTCAAGCTGTGTTAATAGAAACATGGCAGGTTGTGGTGTGGGGTTGTGATTGAAGAGTGTCTGTATTCAAACTAACGCTCAATTCAGCAGACTTAATCTTTGCTGAGAAACTGTCAATTTAATTGTACAAAGGCTTGAAACTACAAATGAAAGAGATTTAATGCTAAAACACTTTCTTCTATATGACCGTTCTTGAATAATTAGCTTTATTTCATAGGCAGAATCCTATTGTACAGGCTCTTTTTTTCTTTAATGTTGGATGCTACTTGTAAATCATGGTTCTAACCTTCTGGAGCAAGCCCCTGCTTGGCCTCTCTTTTTGAACAGATGTATGTGTTTCCAGACAGTCTCTTTCCTCAGTGTGTCTGTTCAAAGACACTTTCCTTAGTGTCTTCTGTTTAAAAAATAGAATTTATTCTTATGCTTTATGGTATGTTTTAATGAAATAACTTGTGTTTTTATAGACATGAATAAAGGCTTCTACTCAAATGGCAGTTTTAAGTTCTGAATTTCTCTTAGTTGCAGACATTCTTCAAATCTGCCGGTGTAAATTGACTGATTGCTGTTGTAAACAGATTTGCTGTTAAGAGTACTTGGAGGTTGTAGCAACCTGACAAAGTTTTGCACTGCAATGTGGTAACTACAAGTCAGCACACCTACAAAAACTTCTGTTTAGTTATTACTTCCTTGTAGTGCCATCTAGCCTTAAAAGCACATTCAGCTGTGGTTTCTCACTGTGTTCAGAGTGATAGTATGCCTCCATAGAACAGAATGATTTCGCTTACAACATGTGACACTGAGATTTCATCCACATGTTTTAGTATTAAAATTATACCCTCTGGAGTAAGCCAAAGTAATTCATTCTTCTTACTTAACCTGGCATAGAACAGGAGGACAAAACTGTCAACTGCTGTTGGAGGACTCTTAAGTAAAAGAGAATGGATTAGATTAAATACTCTTATGATCTCAGCAGGTAGAAAAAAAAAAATCATACTTAACTCTGTGCTGTGGCATAATATTAATGCATTCACTCTTCCAAAACCCAAGTCTTCCAAAAACCTATCCTGGACATAGGGGAAAAATCTTCCAAGCACTAGGGAAGATTGAGTAAAGTGTAGATATGAAGTGTTAACTGCTGTAGTGATTTCGGCTTCCAGTGCATCCAGGTCCCTCTTACTTTTGTTGTGGTCAAGGTATGAGTTCTGTAATGTCTAGGATTGAAGCATGCAGTGTGATTGTAATTAGCATGTTGGTGTGTAGCGGTAGAAGTTAAGAATGCGCCTAAAGCAAGCAGGCTTTTTATGAGAAGGTAGCATAGAAAAATGATGGGGGATTCATTCACAACCTTAAACACAGATGCAATTAAAATCATGAAGCATAACTGGACTCAGTACTGTCATCTAGGCTGTAAAATTCCTCTTTTAAAATTTTTAAAGCATAGCATAAAAAGCTATCTAATTCTTTTTTAAATTACTCCAATGTGTCCACAGCCTTTTCTTTTACAACATTTGTAATATTTAAGGGTCCTTGCAGTTTAGTTAGCATCTCATTTCAAGGTTCAGTACGTCCAGCTGGAAATCTGAAGTGCAATGTTTTGTGTTCCACTTTCAGCATTTTAAATTTGTCATACTGCTGGAAATGACAGTCTTAGAGCTAAATACTGTATTTAATACAGTGGGGCTGCTATGAAGACAACTAAGTCAAGATTACTTTTCTCTGTGATGTTAATTAAATCTCTTAAATTTGCCATTATTATGTTAATCCATTTTAGTTGTACTGTGGTACTGAACTTCCGCTGAAGTTATTACCTACTGAAAAAGCCCAGACCGAAGTCCTTCTGAACTACTCCCTTTTGAGCCAGTCTGTCATTCTGCAGATGTTAAACTTGGTTTCTGGATGCAGAAATGAAGGTGTATAAAGCTTTGAGTAGGAAGATGTCTGTATGCCCAAGCCATTCATCTCTCCCTGTAACAGTGGCTTCTCCCTGTACGTTGGAATTTGTCAGATCCCTGTCATCTGAAAATCGCTTCCCAGAAAAGTCACCATCTAGATTTTTCAAAATACTATATGCTGCTTGACCAAGAGTATGCAGTTACTCTGTCATTAGCAGGACTCACCTGATACTCCATCTGTGAGGTGACTGCATGGATTGTGACTTCACGAAAATACTACGAATGTAGGGGACCCCCGCTGAAGTTGTTACTCTAGCTGTTGCAGTACAGAATCCTCTTGCCATGCTAATTTGTCTGTGAGGATTCTGTGTGTGCTGTGGGAGCACCTGCCCTTGCCAAGGGTATCTCACATGGAACACTAAGAGTATTTCCATTGCTTTATTAAATTCACTCTTTTGTATAGAATCAACATCTAGCTCGCTGTTGCTTTTGTCATGTGTTTACTTTAGTACTTGCAGTTCTCTAGAATTTGTTTAGTTTTCCATCAATACAAGCACCAAAATTAATACTTACAGCCCATGGTGTGTGTTTTGGTTTAAGAAAACTTAGTTGTAAATTAGTAGTCTAATCATTTTTCAGATCATGAATGCTAGCACTTTGCGGTTTTTTTGGTTCACAGAATCAATGGCATAAACTCTTCCATACAACCAGTCATTCATCTGATTTTGCATATCACTTTGGTGGTTCTATGACCAATTTAAAGCTTGTGAGGTGGTATCTGAGCACCTGTCTGCATGTCTTGTCTATTCAGAAATATCCAGCAATATTTACATGCAAAGGGGAAATCTGGTGATTTAGCTGTACTGTATTCTACGTAGTGCAGTCCATCACTTCGGTTTCTTTAATCTTGCTTTAGCAAAAATGTTTTATGGGGAGTACATACTCTTTAATATTTTAAACATGTACATATCTTGATCTTTTCTCCTTGTGATTAATTAAAAGGAAAGATTTACTTTATAATTTTTAAACTATTAAATTTATTTTTAAAATTACCATGTTTAAATTTGGGGAGGGAAAGAATGTAGAAGAACTTGCCTGTATAACAATTGTGTGGCTGTATGATACCTCCTAATAACAAACAGGCTTTGGTGAAAATGGATAATGAAACAGGGCTCTAATGTACATAACGTATGGTAAAGAGTCAAAGTAACTATACTTATTTTAACAAAGACTAGTTGATGTGCCCTCTTCACACTTCATATTTTCAGTAGGCTCTTAGTATCAAAAGAGCTGGGATGAGAGTTTTCTTTAGGTGGGAGATTTCAGCTGTTCAGTTTGGGATTCAGCTCTCTACATATGGTGGTGTGGTGTCACCATCATTGGAATGTACTAGCCCTATGCAAGACAACTATTCTACTAGACTAGCAGTTGGAAGGCAAGCAGAATAATCCGCAGCACTTGAATACTGGTGGTTGCTGTGATTTTAGGTAGAGTTGCTCTCCTTAGGGTGAAATTTGAAATGGATGCTTAGATTTAGGTGTCTGCAAGTGAGATGGGCATCTAAACTCATGTTGTAGCCGGGGAGCATCTGGCCAATATGGTCAGTAGAGCCTGTAGATCTTGTGTTGCATCTGCCTGTGTTGTGCAGATTCTTGTTTCCTAAGGCCCTTCAAATTGGGCCTGTGAGCCACTACCTTGAATCAACCTCAAGCTGCTGTCAGTGTTCCTGACAAGATCTCCTTGACCAGAATGGAAGCTTTGACATAGTCTGCAGTGTTACATGCAGCTACTTCTAGGTGTCTTAACCTGAAAGAACCTTAACCATTCCCTTGCATGCCAATTTTCTTCTCTTCTAGCACAGCAGTGCAACAATTAGTTTCCACACTGAAGGTCTGTCTTCTTTAATGAATTGAGACTCAGTTAACAAGCAGTCTAACTGCTTTCTTCACATTTGGATGTAGTTCTGTGCAACCCATAAAAGCCTCTTTTATTTTCCTTCACTCGGGCTGTTGCCCTTAAAAAATCCCCAAAGAAAATCTGGCAGAGTAGGTATATAATTTTTCTGTTAATTTAACCAGAACAAACAGCCACCACCTAACACTAGTGAAGAGTCATGCCCTGTGAAAGCTTCTTGCACAAATTGAGTGTTCTGGAATTACTAAGCTATTAATCAAGGGATGTTAGTCAAGCTATATTTACATTCTAATCCTGCTTTTTGTATCAGATTTATACTGATGAAATAAGCCAAATTTTGGTGGGTTTTGCATGTGCATCTATTCCAGAGTGCTGTTTCAGTGGTAGTAGATTCCAAATCTATTCAAGACCCACCTAATTTAAAACTAAGGAGAAAACCAATTTTTGTCCAGAATGGTCTGGAATTCCTCAGACATTATGAACATTTTTGTGACCTTTAAATTAGTACGGTTAGGTTCATGCTTTCTGTGGTGTTACGACCAGCTATATTCTTATGGAATGTACTTACAGAATGACACTGGTTTTGTTGGTCCACACTACTGACTCTGAGAAAAATTACGACATTGTACTGTCTGTAGTTGGTACTCCACTGGCATGTCTGAGAAAGAGGAATGATCTGACAGTTTGTAAACACTTGTTGGTGTCTCCCCTAGTCTCACATTTTAGAATCTTAGAATTAATTTCAGCCTTCAGATCTAATTTTAGCTCTCCCTTGCTGATTATGGACTAGAAATGAAAATAAGTTCTATAAAATTGCCCAACAGATAAATCAGCTTTTAATTAACTGCAGAAGAACATAAGGAGGTAAGACTCTGGTCTTAAAATACAACTTGCATGAATTCCCCTCTTCTCCTCCCACCTATAGTGTTAGACTACTTGGAAGCTCTGTTTATACCAAGATGAATGTGACTAAGGTAATTTTAGCAGCAGACTGCAAACGGATCTTGCAGAAGTGAGAAGGGTTGGATGAAATTTTTGGCTTGTACATTCAGCAGTAAAAGTTCAGGTCAGATCTTTTAGTGGCTATTTCTTTGGTTGTCTCTGTTTTCAAAAGTAGTGAGAATTTTCTTTTCTACCTAACTGAAATTCATGACTGTAGGAGGCAAAATGAAACTGAAAAAAATGGCAGTAAAGCATAGCTTCAGGATTTGAACTCTACTTAATATTTTCTGCTGTAAAACTCCAAATGTGGCATGATAACATCGTCTGGGTACATTGTCCGTTACGATATTGCGAGAAATGGGAGTCCTCTTTCCTGTGCAGTGACATATGCTTGTAATGGTACACTGGCCCAGACTTCCAAGTCCTTGCTGCAGAGGAGAAATCAGAACACTACATTAGGCTCTTAGATTGTTTTTTATAGGGATCAGGGAGAATTGCCTGTCTCTAAACAGTACGTAAAATACTGAGTGGACATACTGACTGGGTGGTGGCCTGAAGGTAGTAACAAAGACAGAATATAGGAGAAACCTAAAGCTTCCCCTCTTTCTTCTTGTAGGTATTTTGCTTACAACTGTAAAGGCATATCTCTATCTGCTTTGCTCCCCTATCTAATAAAACTAATTCCTGAAAACAAGTATTTACTAGTTTTCAAATAACAGAACTAAGCAGGAGTTTCTGGTTTGAGATGCAGCTGGAGGAGAAGAGGATGTCGACAGCCTGGAATTTAATCAGTCCCCCCAAAAAAGGGGAGACTGGCCAACTTCCCCTCTCTTCCTGAGATCTCAATGAGGAAGAAATCTTAAGCCAAGGAGAATCAGCGTATACCTGCCTTCCATTCCATCCTTAATTGATATAAAAGCTGTAATGTAATCCTGAAATTTTTCATGTGAATTAACTTAATTTCCCTTCAGTAACTTCACTAAGTGCTATATATTTATTGCTTATATAGTGAAAAATCTTTGTATTTTGTATGGAGAGAAATAAGTTCTACTCATTGGCGGGGGGGGGGGGGGGGAAGTTACAATTTAAGTCATAATATTTGTATCCCTGTATTTACTTTGTTCCATCAAATAGAAAGGGGCAAGCCAAAGGAATGTAACGCTGTTATTACTGGCATGGTCCTCCAAATACTTGTTTTGAAAGATATTAAGTAATCTTTAGTTGTTTATTTTTCAGGATCAACAGACTGCATATGCTATTCAACTGTTGGCATTTCTGATCCTGTAACATCAGCTCTTCATATTATTGTAGGTGGGTAGTCACAGTTTGACATTTTATTATGAAAATAGCCAAAAATAGTAATTTCATTTAGTTCTTTCTATATGTCTATGAACATAATGGCTGAGTTGAAAGATGAAGTTTTTGTCTGGGGTTTAAGTCTCTCATTTGAAATACAGAAGGTTAAAAATTAATTGCTTTCTCTACTGTAAATCATTGTTTTCAAGGGATCAATGTTTTGAAACTTTGTAGTTGGTGCTTAAGTTTTCATGCCTTATGGTATGCTTTTGAAAATAGCAGTAAAATACAATAAGCTGTGTAAGTTGTTGGACTATATATAATGTTATCTTGTCATAGCTTTCTCTAAGTGCATGTACACTTGAATAGTAGTATTTTGTACTAGTTGCCTGATTGTCATAGAATCATAGAATCATTAAGGTTGCAAAAGACCTTTAAGGTCATCAAGTCCCACCATCAACCCAACACCACTATGCCCACTAAACCAGGTCCCGAGGTGCCATGTCTACATGTTCTTCATGTTAAAAAAAAACCCACCACCTTCAGTGGTGGTGACTCCACTGCTTCCCTGGGCAGCCTGTTCCAATGCTTGACCACTCTTTCAGTGAAGAAATTTTTCCTAATACTTAGTCTAAAACTCTCCTGGCACAACTTGAGGCCGTTTCTTCTCTTTCTGTTGCTAGTTACGTGGGAGAAGAGACCAACACCCACCTCACCACAGCCCACTTTCAGGTAGTTGTAGAGAGCGATAAGGTCTCCCCTCAGCCTCCTCTTCTCCAGACTGAACAACCCCAATTCCCTCAGCTGCTCCTCATAAGACCTGTCCTCAAGACCCCTCACAGCTTTGTTGCCCTTCTCTGGGCACGCTCCAGCACCTCAATTTCCTGGTAGCAAGGGGCCCAAAACTGAACAGACTATTTGAGGTGCAGCCTTACCAGCGCCAAGTACAGGGGCATGATCGCTTCCCTACTCCTGCTGGCCACATAGGTGCTTCCATGCCAAGTTAGATGTATGGCTTCTGCTTGACTGGAATTAGCTGATAATTCCCCATTTTTACCATCTGTAAGTTATATATTTGAAGAGGAACTAAGGAGGAAAACAACTATTCAATAAATGCTTCTTGATGTGTTGTCATCAGTAGGGATGCTGACATTGCCACTTTTGAAACTCCTCTAGTAATGGAGTCCGTGAACTGCACGAGGGCTGAAGTAGACAGCTTGGCATATTCAGTGCATTGTGATTTGTGATGTCCATCCTATCTGACACATACTGAAGAATCAGAATCACCCAGTTCTTAATACTGAATTTGAAAAATTGTGCAAGGCGGTCTTCAGTTCTAATGATGTTGTGTAAGCATAAAGGATAGAATTTCTGAATGATGATTATTTCATTATCACTTGTTATTGAGTGCTTAATGGTTGCAGTTTTAGCAGCTGGTGTTGCAAAGGTTTGCACGTGTGCTTCTTTGTTACTAACCTATGGTTTACTCTGTTCAGCATATGTAGAGTTTAGGCCTTTGGATTAGGATTACAGAGAAATACGGATTTAGCATATTATAGTATTTTAGATGGATTATTAAATGTGCATATACACATATGCATTTAGATTTTTCTAAGTGTTTTGTACTTATGTAAATGGTTCTTCACAATAGTCTATGGTGGAAGGATGAGAGACAATGGGCATAAAGTAAAACTGAAGGAAAAAAAACCCCAAACCAAACACCAAAAAACCAAACAAGCAAAGAAACACCACCACCACCCCACCTCCCAAAAAAAAACAAACGCCAACAACCCCATAACCACTCCAAAGCTTACACTTTGAGGACATCAGAAAGGTGGTGTACTCCCTTTTTAGGGATTTTCAGGACTTGACTTGGATAAGCCCTGAGTAACCTGGTCTGACCTCAAAGCTGAACCTACTCTGAGTGGTAGGTTTGATGAGAAACCTCCTCTGGCCCCTTCAAGCTTGAATTATCCTTTGATAGTATGATATGTAGGATTACGTAGTATCCAGTATATGTAGAGATACTGCATTGATCTCTCCTGTAACATCATCTCCTACTGCTATGTGGTAAATGAGTGTAAATTCTTCATTATATATTTCTAGCATATCGACACCTTTCTTCTCCTCACTTGGTGCATAATGCTTTTTAAATATTAAATGAAATTAGTATTAAAAATTACTTTTCCCTTTCTGCATGTGTAAGAAATATATATGGATATGAGATACATGTGTGTTATGACATAAATACAACATGTATTTTTTATTTTTAAAAAATTGGTAATGTAAAAGTTACTATCGTGTTTGCAGCTGCAAATAAAATAAGCCTTAATAGAACCTTGTGCTTCTAATCTTCATAGGTGACTGTCAGCCTCTGGATGTCTCTTCCGTACATCATAACAACACATTTTTGAAGTACTCTGTGTCATTGCTGGGTTATGGTTTTTATGGAGATGTATTAAAAGATAGTGAAAAGAAGCGGTGGATGGGTCCGATGAGATATGACTACTCAGGTAACCTGTGTAATTATTACATTCTGTTGTCAGCATGTAAACATACTGGAGCAGTTGATATATTCTCTCCAAACCAACCCTCTCTGAAGCTTTTAAATATCAGCAACAGTCTGAACCTGATCTTAAACTCCTTGTAGTAGCAGGTACATTGGATCACATTATGTAAAGCTCCGTAACTTTGGGGATAACATTAACAGCGTGCTCATTAAAGTTATAAGAATATGTCACCTAGTGATAGCTGCCTAAAAAGTAGTATCTTTTTTGTACTATCATTTTGACTTTCTTTTCCATCAGAGATAGGCAGGCACTCCTCTGTCTTGGACTTTTAACTGATGGAATGAATTGTTAACTTTATCCTGCTTCCAGCATTGATTATAGAGAGAGATTAGTGGTTCAGCCTAGTTAGCTAAACTTGGATAAATCTTATGCTGCTGGAAAGTATTTTTTGCCACCTTTGATTTGTCTTGTGTTAG